ACAAATCCCTCCATTATTCTCTGACTAGAGTGAATATTTAGAGATGCTGGGAATTTGCATATGGTAAGTTTCTTACACTCATTTTGTTATTACCCATTCTTTTACATTTCAAAATTACTGGGTTCCAAGTCATGCAATCAAAAAAAAATTTTTTGGAAGACATATGGGATGCCTAAAAGTTGTGTTCTCAGAGTCAGCACTCCATTCTTGGTGAACAGATTGGGTTTGCCTCTCCAGTTTACTGGAGGACCCATCTCTGTGATTCACAAACATGGCACTCAATAAATAGGCTTGAGGGGTAAATTAAAAGAGTGAGAAATGTTGTGTTCTCCATCCCTTTGAATGGGTGCAGAGGAAGTTCTGCTCCAAACGACAGCTCAGCCACCACTTCTGCCAAAATGAGAGCTGTGGCAATGATGAACAAGCAGACCTGGTCATTAATTGCACTAACTGAGCACAGGCCTTGCACGAGTGCAGATGAGCAGGCAGCAGGCTGGGCAAGGAAATGACCTGACCTCAGGTATTTTGGGGGCACGTGGCATCCAGCCCTTGGCTGGGGATGGCAGAACAAGTGACAGCATGTCCCCTGTGGCTGTGCTGATGTGGGGAGTGCTGCCTGTACCTGGGGGCACTCACAGAGCCCACTGTGAGCCACAACACGGCAGAGCTGCAAAACTGGCACTCTGGAACAATGCAAAAGACATTAAGAGGGGTAATTCCAAGTGTAAAGCAGTGCTGAATGATGACAGCAGCCCCTTTCCAATCTGGAAAACCTCCTTATTCCATCTCTGGCCCCACAAGGTACTAGTGGGCACTGCATTATTTTTAATTTTCTGCCCAATATATAAGGAATTCAAATAAATTCTAAACCCATTATTCTGCTTCACCTTGAATTCAAACAATGCCTCTGCTTTGCTGAGTAAAATCCATCCCTCATGGATGTGGAGAAAACAATTAAGACTACACTGGGTTTTGGTGAGCACTTGATCATTTCAGCTAGCAATCAATCTGAGTGTGTTTTAGGAGCTTTTGAGAGTCTTGTAATAAAAAAGAGAAAGAAAATCAATTAATCCATGCACCATAATGCCCAAGTGATGGCCATATGGAGGACTGATCTGGGGGTAATTTTTAAGAAGCTAAGACATGTAATGCAAGAACCAACTCCCCATTTAAAGCTGTTTGTTTATTTCTGAATTGCTAGAAATATCACTTTCACCAACTTCTTTTCTCTCCCAACTTTCTAAATGAATTATCTTTACACTGAGGACTGTTATTTGTCAATCAGATTCAGCATTCCATCAAAATAAAACAAAACCCCCAATTTTGCTCCAAAGCCTTCACTCTATCATTTTGCTGGGTAATACATAAAAACATTAATTTCGTGCGGGAGAAGTCTCCACTTGCAATGCGATCCCAAGAGAGAAAAAGGAAAATGTAAAATACCTACAGAGCATTGTACTGAAAGACAGCTCTGCCAGAAACCATGGCAACTGGGGTGTTAGATGAGAGCTGTTTCCTTCTGCCTGGGTTGCTGCTGCATGTTTATCCATGCAGTGTATCTTCAGTCGGGGTCTGACAAACAGATTTGGCTGATGGACGTCAAGGAGGAGGGAAGAGGTGAGGAAATGGCCTTGCTGTGGGTTCAGAAAATGCTTATCCTTCAAAACCCAGTGCCCTAGGAACAGCAAAGCTGCACCAAAATGCTTCATTTTGCTGAGGGCCCATGGATGCTGGGACACCCTCAAGCAGCACAAACCCCTTCCCTCAGCCACCACCACCAGCACCTGGTGGTCCAATGCCACCCTGAGACAAAAAGCCCAAACTGGGATACTCATACAGCAACAGCACTGAGAGTATCTTTATCCCACTCAGATTTCCTGAACAAGGGAAGAAAATCTGTGAATCTGCTTCAAAACCTTGTGTGAGGGGTAGAGGAGCAGCCTGGAAAGATTCACTTCATCCAGCCCTGTCAGAACTGGAAACTTCTCCTGGGGAGCCCATCGTCCTGAGATTCCTCATAACTCAGCTGGAGGAGATGCTTCCCAGGCACTCCTCATCTGACCCACTGCAGCCTTGTAGCTCAGGATGGAATTAATCACTCCAATTTCTCTCCTCAGACTATAAAGCAAGTCTAGACAAGTAACTCAGATGTTTACACTTAAACCTGGATAAAGTAATTTCACTTCTGGGGTCCGTATCTGACTACAGCTCTCTTACTGCCTTGCCAGGGAAAATCACTTCATTTCTGTCTTGCTCACAGCCCTTTCAGCAGCAGCAAAGGGATAAAACATTTATTAGTGTTGTAAAAACATGGAAAATAATTGCATAGACATTTCTGATTAAGTCTGGGCAAAAAAAAAAAAAAAGCACTGCATTAGAGCAGAATTTAGGTTTAGAAATACAAGTGTAGGAGGAACGTGTAGTAAGAACTACTTTCTCCAAGCACCAGTCACAGAGGATTGGGTCTTCCCCTAAAATGTTTTATGCTATTTGTCAAGGAAGCCACTTGTGCAAGCACATCAAGTGGTTGATGTGCTGGCCTGACAGGCTGGGGAGGTCGTTTCTGCAATGCTGGTTAAGTGCTCTGACAAATGCCTCACTGGAGCCCTGTGCTAAAAAATGGAGGGGTTCCTCTCTGGGGAGAGCAGCAGTGAGATTGTTCTCCTTCAGAGCCAATTAGCCTTTGCTCTGGACACCAAACACACGGTGAGGGTTCAGAGAGGAGGGTCAGCATCTCAACAGGCTGACCAGAACCACAGAGGGTGGAGATCTGCTGTTTTTCTTAAAAGCATAGAAAAATGTGATAATTCCTGGACACGGTGTTCCTGCTCTCCCCTCCCCTCTTTTCCAGGCTTCTGAGAACATGAGAACTCGCTCTCACTAATGAAATCAGGGAAATTAGCCCAGCTGCAGTGCTTGGATATGAGTGGACACGAGGCCCATTATCCCAATTTCCTTCATAATGGTCTCACACCTGGACACACTGTCAGGGTCAGTCAATTAAAGGCAGCTTCACAAACCCACATTTCACTTCAAAGCTCCTCTTGCAGGGAAAAATATCAGCCTCAGCAACCTTATTCTTCACCTACTGTCACCGTACTGACAGCGTAGGGTCAAACTGCTTCATGTATGACAACCCTGAGGACTGCTCTGTACAGTTGTCCTGTCTTCTCAGTGCCCAAGTGAGCAGAAATAAATCCATCTGGCTGTGAACAAACCAGATGCAGACAAATTTTCACAGGCTACTGCTGTGAGCTCTGTCAGTGGCCAGCTCTGCTTCTCTTCCAAGAAATAAAATGGAAAATCATGACTTAGCTTAATTGCTGCTCAGGGTTTCCCATGCTCTGAGATCAGTATCAGCTGGACAGGGGGATTTTGTGGAGTGTTGTAGCTCAGGGATCCCTCTCTATTAATCTCTGGATTGTATGTGGTTTCATTAATTACCATCAGAGCACAATGTAATTAGTGCACATTATAAATCAGAGACATATATTAGTTCTCCAGTATGTATGGGCTCATACCCATGGTAGTGAGAGTCTGTTGATGCATTGGAATTTCTTTTTGCCTGTGGGAAGGAGCTAAGCCAGGTCAGCTCTGAGGGGATAGCACAGAGCATCAGTGGTCCCCATAAAGTCACCTTTAACTTCTTCACATTGATGACACATATGAGATGGAAAATGATATCTGAAAATCTCTTGAGGGCAGCACAATGTGTTTGTGATGCTCGGGAAAGGCAGCAACAAACCCAAATGTTGGGCCAAAATCTTTCTGGTGACCTGTTGAGTGAACACGATCTAATTTGCGCCTTCATGCTGATTACACACTTTGTTTCAGTGCAAAAACATCTAAAATGCAGCACATCTGAATTTCCTTCTGAATCTGGTGCTCTAGGAGTGAAATTTCCCACCACTGTGAGGATGAAGAGAATTTCTGGACCCTCAGTCCCAGGTTACTCAGTCACAGGCACTGCCACCACCCACAGCACCCAATAATACATCCCTCACCACCAGGGAACCATCCTGCACCTAGATCCTATTTCCATGGTACTGATGGAAAGCAGTGATTAGAAAAGCAGTTATTAGGAAAGCAGTGATTTTTCTGAGCTGCTCTTGTTAGGGATCATTCTGGCAGGTGCTGTGTGATCAGTGATAATTGCCAGGAGTAATTATCCCCTGTCCCCTCACCCAGCTCACAGCAAGCTCTCTTGCAGCCAGGCCACACAAAACCAGTAGCACCAGGTGGGAGTGACTGGGATGGAGGAAGCTCCATGATTCTAATTTTAAACGGGCAGAAAAATGGAGCAAAACTTATGAGGGTAAATGATGAGAATTACAGTCAGATGGCGTGTTTCCACTTGTCACTAGAAACAAAAGTCATGTTGTTGATAAAGATCATTGGGCTTAGAGAATATAAATCTAACTGTGATTAAATTCTGTTCCCTGTGAGCTAAGCCAGGAACTCAGCTGCTGTCAGAACAGAGATTACAGATGCATTTACAGTGCAAAACCACTACAGAACAATTCTGTTCTTTATTTTGTTTTCAAAAAAACCTATAGTAGAACTACGAGGAGCACAATTAAAAAAGATGTATCCACACTACTCATCTGTCCACTTCTTATCTTCTACTTCCTGTGCTTTTGATACCTTTGGAGAAAGGGATGATGATGCCCCTTCCCCAGGACTGAGCTGGCAGGAGCAACCTGCCCCTGCTGATAACTGAGCTAGGCAGCCTGGGGCCTTCTGAGGCACAGCTCATCTCATTCTAAAGATGAATGCTAGGTTTGCCAAGTCAGGTGTGTGCCCAGGGGGGCTTGTTTCTTTCCATGAACAACATAAAGACCTCAGGTGACCAGGACAGAACACAGAGACCTGCGGTGTACACAGAGCAAACTGTGTACAGAGTAACTGCAGCCACGTGCAACTTCATAAAATAAGATGATTCAGGTAACAGTGTAGAGTAACACATCTGTAAGCTCTGGTTTCTCAGAGCATTTGCTTACCTTGGATCACAAAGAAACTTGGTTTTTTCACCTTCTTCTCTCCAAATAAGCCATTCTCGGAAAGAGGGATGAACAAACATTCGCGTCATGTCTCTACGTTTGATAAGAAACATAGAAAGGTTCTCCATCCTCTGCTGAAAGTCCTCCCACTCCAAAGTGCCCTCAATGTTACCTGCATTAATGGCCTGAAAAATATGTTCATCTGTTAATGGGTGCAGAGAAGCCACTGCTACGTTCAAGAGAGGCATGACCCGATCAAAGGAAGACTGTGTTGGGAACTTCATATTGCACTGCAACAGGTACACTTCGGACAGGGACACTGGCACCACTTTGTAGCTGGAGCTTTTTAGAACTAGGTATCCTTTCTCTATGAGATCAAAAGTAAGTTTCAGGTACAGGTAGGAGCCTTGGCTCAAGGTCTTGAGGTGAGAACTGAGTTTGCCAAACGTAGTGTTGTCCATTTTGCCGTTGAGCGAGATGTTGTTCTGGATCTCCGAGCTGCTGTGGATCCGGTGAAGGATGTATGCCTGCAGGTCCTGGTCGATGGCTTCATTCTCCTCCAGTCTATCCAAAAATATTCTGTGGAAGGGCAACAGCTTAATTATTTCCTACAAAGAAAGAAAGAAAGAAAAAAAGATACTCATGCCTGCAGTGTTTACTATTCATTAAGTAGACTTAGTTTCGATTACAACAGCACCTCTGAGAGTCCTTTAAGATCTTCCATCAGGGCAAGAACACAAACAGCAGTTTGTGCCCTCGGGGCCTCACACTCCCATCTATAATCAGGCAGGTTGTGTGACACATGACTGATATAAAAGCAAGGGACACTTTCTAACAGTACATCCATGAAAAGGGTTGATAAATTCACACAGAGCAGTGCCCTTGTCATTCCCACCCCTCCCAACCACAGATTGATCTCCCATCCCTTCTGCTGTCCAGGACATCCAGATGACAGATCTGAGGCCACAAGAAACTTGCTGAAGCTGAGACCTCCCTGGAAGCATCCTTCTGCATTCTACATCCACAAATGCACAGAAACATCAGGACAGACAATAGTGGGTATTTTCCAGTGCAAAGCAACTGTGTCTGTCTGCTGCAGGACACTGCGCTCAGGAAATGCTCATCTGCTGAACCCCCTGGTTCAACATAAACCAAAGATCACCAAAGGCCTCTCCACAGAAATGCCTGCCTCATGTGCTCTCAGTCACTGTGAGGAGAGGAGAAGTGATGCAACAGATCTGTACAAGGCCAACTCCAGGAAAGCCAGAAGCTCTCCAACAAAACAGAGAGGGAGAGCGCAGTGCGAACTCAAGTGGCAGCGAAGACTTCACGGATGCAAAAACCCTAATTAAATGAGGAATTCAAGTCACTGGGATCCAATTTGTTTACAATTACAAAAAAGATTTATTCCAAATGATATTTAATTTACTCCATTACTGAGCAAAAAGTGGACCCCAGCACTCAACAGCAAATAGTCTGTGCTCTCCTGGGTCTTGGGGAGCAGCTGCCATTCCCAGGGACAATGACTATGTGGGGGCTGGCTGCCCTGGTGGGGCTGGAACCACTCAGCTCCCTGCTGACCTGCCCACAACAATCTTGAGCTGAGCAGCATCTTGGCCTAATCAGGCTGAAATCATCATGCTCTGGGTCACACTGGAAGGAATGAAATCCAAATTCCTTTGCCCTTCCACATGGAGCCATTAGGAAGGCAGGGCCTGGTGTCTGGCAGCCTTCCTAATGGCTCCATGAGTCAGGCCCTGCTGGCATGTGAACAGTCTCAGAAAATGATCCCAGCTATTTGCTGATGAACATTTATTTACATGAATAAGCTATGATGGATTAGATCCTTCCAAAGCTGTAGAGTGAGCCTAAGGACAGGGATGTAAATCCAAGAATAAAAAAGCCAAAAGGATAACCTGAAATAAAGGTTTTGAGCAAATCCAGAACATCCAATAAGATCTTCTTTACCAAAGTCCCATCATGACAATGACACAGTTTATCCCTGTTTTGGGTCTCAACATACCTGTAGACTTGTCCTGACTGTCACAACCAGCTTCAGCCAGGAAGGGAATTTTCCAATCATTTTGCTCAGGAACGATACTATGGTGTCTCCATAATCTGGCTTGTGAAATTCAGCCTCATTTAAACCATCAATTAATATAATGAAATCTTCATCAGGGATCTTCCTCTCTGAGAGAAAGAGAAAAAGCATTTATTGGATAGGCTATAGAAACACAACCATAATGTACTGCAACGTCACTACAGAGCTTTAAACCATGAGCAGATATTGCCAAAGAAGAAAACACCTACAGCAGCAGCACCTTTTTAATGATACATTAATTGCACATTGACCTTTACAGATCATCTCATTCCACCCTCCAGCTGGGGACAGGGACACCCTGTTGTTGTTCCAGCCTGGCCTTGAAAATACTACAAGAAGTAAATCATGGACTGTTTAAACAGGATTTTTTTTGCTGTTGGAGAATACAGTAACCCAGGTGATGCTGACAACGCAGTCATTTTTTCTATGCCAGACACTGAGAGCTGAGTATGGCTTTACAACTAATGGTAGAGATACCTTTGGACTAGTATCTTAAGCTCAAGGGGTATCTTCTCGATGGTAAATTTGTCTAATAAGACTCAAAACCAGGTGTAAAATGTGAAATCTGAGTCTATTGGTGGCATATGCTATTCACATGTACTACAGGTCAGAATTTAGGGCAGATGGGGGTCAACCTCCTTGACAAGAAAAATAAGAATCCTCCAAAACACTCTGAAATCGAGAGCAGAAACATCTCCCATGGAGCCACTGTAATAACCAAGAATTATTTTCCTCTAGAGCAGCAGTTCCTAAATGTATCCTTTTTTCTTTTTCTTTTTGCCAAGAGTGATGACAGGAAAAAGCAACCATGCTCCTTCCACAGTGACATTTCCCCATGCCAGGAAAACCAGCCACTGCCATGCTGTGCTGGCTCTACATATGCTTTGTGCCTGGTGGAACAGGGCAGGCTGGACCCAGCTGCTGCTGCTCAGAGCTTGGACACAGCTTTGAAGAGCTGATTTGAACATCAGGGCTTTGAATCTATCTGCCAGAAGCTGCATCTCCTTCATGTTGGATCTTACACTGTAGTGTGTAGGGTGGTAACAAAATTAACTGAACTATTTTTGCAGCCAAGATGCAGCACAGGCACAGCAATAAACATGATTCTGCAGGACAACAGTCTTGAACTCTGCAATGCTCTGACAGTTTTCATGGCAACGAGCAAAGATCTTATATTTAGTGACTGTCACAATGAATTACTTATAACTTGCAGAGGGGAGAAAGAAAAGAAGACAAAATCAATGCTGTATTAGAAAAAGCTCTGTTATCAGAATAAGGCTTGTCACCAGCTCCCCCAGAAGCTTTACACATGGTGTCTATGGACTTTTTGATACCAGTCCTTTGGTGAAAGCTTCAGATTCTCCAAAACCCACTAAACAGTGACAGGGAAAGGGAAAAAAAAGTCACCCCTACACAAATAAATTAGAACTTTTTCCTGTTAGCAGTGCTGTGAATGGAACTGGCTGCTTGTTTTCACCTTGAGAATTGCAAGGACAGGTTTGGTTGCTTGTTTTCACCTTGAGAACTGCAAGGACAGGTTTGGGAAGTGAAAGAAGCATGAAAAGGGAAGGCCAAATGGGATATAGGGAAAAAATTCCTTCCTGTGAGGGTGGGGAGGCCGTGGCACAGGTGCCCAGAGAAGCTGTGGCTGCCTCTGGGTCCTTGGAAGTGCCCAAGGCCAGGCTGGATGGGGCTTGGAGCAGCCTGGGACAGTGGAAGGTGTCCCTGCCCATGGCTGGGGGTGGAATGGGATGAGCTTTAAGGTCCCTTCCAACCCAAACCACTCCATGATTCTCAGTCTTCCCTGCTTCACCAGCTCCCACCTCTTCCCTTCAGCTCCAGAAGCGATGCCGACAGATCAATCCAAACACCCATAACCCAATTTAGCATCATTTTAAAAACCACAATAAAAACAGGCTCACGGGAGGCTGGGACACTGTCGCAGAATGAGGCCTTTGCCGGGGTCGAGCCATTTGTCGGTGAGGGGAGACTCAGACACTCAATATGAGTGATAAGCAAATTCCATTTATTGAAGAGAGCATCAGATACTTATACAGTAAATAATAAGCTTATGAATATTCTGTAAGCCAAGCAATCTATTGGTTAAACTATACTATCAAGTCTTCCCCATTCCTTAGGGGTTACATCTCTCTTTTCTCATGTCTCCTTCACTATTTGTTATCCTACCACAGCTAGGCACAAGGACACTGCTATCTGTGCAGGTGCAGGACTTGGAATTAGCCATGTTGTACTTTTCCATTTCCTAGCAGCTAAATTCCCAACAC